TATGGAATACAGGCCAAGCAGATGGACTCGCTGACGACATTGCCCTATCACTCAGTTGTAATTCATAAACATATTGACATTGCGGACGCTTTCCAGCAATTTCGCATAGTAATTTGGCATATTTGCCGCTTATGATAAATACTATTTTTTGCACAATGAATGAACGATCGAGATAGGCTGCGAATTTGCAAGGATCAGTAAAAATTTGAAAATAACTAAATCTTTGATTGAGACGGGTCTTCATTTGACGCTGTAGGTCGACACAAAGATTTTTATCGTGATACCAGATACCAGATTTTTATCTGAAACTAGGGGAGTCGATAAGAACATGAATAACAAAGGAATATCACAATAACTATGCTGATGTGATACTTTGGGTTCTGTGATTTTGGTTTAAACTCAGAACTTTCATCCAATGAAGTTGGGTACGTCAAAAACGAAAAGTGCACGAAATAAGCATATTTTTTTGTCTCCGTCCACGTATCAGAGCACTGTATTGGAATAAATGTATTTATTGAAACACTGACATATCCGTGCATTGACAATGATGTTTAGATGTATTATCTGAATCACTGAGTCAGCCAGATGCATGAACCACTTAATGGACGCTAAGTGCATTGTTCACAGCATTGCTCATGTAGATGCACGGGCAATGCTATGTCGTTACATCGGGAAAAACATTTATCTGTATTTAGATGCATCCAGATATCTCCATATTTATCTAGATACAACGTGCGATGTCTCGATGGGTTTCTTTTTACGCATTTAGATGCATCGACCAGTGAATTGACGAATCTAGATACATTGGGCGATACTCCATGTTTTTGTGTGCTTGGGTATGATAAGTCAAACTTTTCACTAAGAGGACTGGACCCGCCTATCATATCCCTGGCAAGGTTCCTGTGGTCCACAGAAATTTTTTCAACTTACCATTGAGGAACATCCAGTTTAGGAAGTGGCACAGTAAGAGATCCAGTCTTTGTGAAGTAAAAGTGGCACGACGTCGAAGCAGTCGCAAGCTTAGGCAATTGCAAACTATTGTGTTCGATTCGTACTGAATTATCAACGACGGTCGAAGATAGTGCTTTCTCGAAAGTTATCAAAGCTTTTTCATCGTTATTTAGTGATGAATACATCACGCCCATATTATTGTGGATTGATGCACGGATTGGATCATCCGACGGAAGGACGTTAAGCAGATATTCATAATAGTCTTTTGCTGCATCGAACTGCTTGAGAGCAGTCAGATAGTTACCAAACGTCAACCACGTGAGGCACTCGCCAATCTCAAGTTGAAGGTGATCTTGGACAGGTTGCATAGCATAGTTTGCTGACTCGAGTTGAACATACGAAACGCCATCTGGTGCCGTGTCCATCGAAAGTAATCGAAACACAGTGCCGAGGCGAAAAATAACAATATCTGAACCCACGAAATGGGCCATTTGGGTTTGCTCGGATACATTCATTTCGAACAAAATCACAGTGAGACCATTTTCGGCTGCACGACGACATATATCCGTCACTGATGAGAGAGATCGTGACGCTAGAATGAATGTATGTATTGCTAGGAGAGCTTCTGGGTTCTGTTCTACCATTTGTCGTATCATTTGCAAATCTGCATTAGACACAAGCTGCGCTCGATAAATCGTTGTGGGCGAGCGAACAATGTTTTCCGCCAATAACACAATGTGCTGATCGATAAATCTTAATTGTGAACTTGACTTTAAGAGATTAAGAAGATTTGATTGTTTGAAAAGCTCATTTATCATTCCACCATTGTTAGTAAGAAGGTCAAACAGGGGACGGACACTCTTGTCATTAATACATACGAAGGCCTCTGACTGAGAGTCGGATGAGGACGGCAAATCTGATATAATATTAGTGAACAGTTGAAAACAGAGAAATTCGATTTGATGCTCGTCGAACTCTCTGATGGTGCTATGTTTGGCCGGGAGTGTGCTCATCTTTGGAATATGAGCTGGAATTTGTCGATAGAAGCAAATGTCGGTTGCGAGTTGGATGAGAAGGTCATCATATTGAACAAACAGCCCACTCACTTTTGAATTCTTAATATTCGCCACCAGTTGGGATTGCTCATGCACACCATCCTCCACAAAGATATAGATTGCATGAACAGAGTGAAGCTCAAATAAGAACTGAACATCTGAACAAGACTCAATAGAGTTAACGGAGATGATTAGAAAGACGGATGATGTCTTTTCATTGGTAATAATGAACTGACTACACTGTTTAATACCACTAAATTCATATATCTTCATGTTGCTGTGGGACAGGTGAAACGAATGGTGATTGCAACAAAACAATGTAACAACGGTCAACGTGTCAAAACCTTGTCCTGCCATGCCTTCGGTATGCACCGTACTAGTCCGATGAGATTTTTGTACCTGTTGTGTCCATAATTCTGAGAACAATTCGTGCGTTCTTAACCACCGAGACGGACGTGCAATGGTCGACTCAATATCTTTTGTCATTTTGTCTTGCATTTCAATGACCGAAGACCAAATGCCACGAACTTTTGAATATTCATTCGCCCAGCTAGGGTCTTGATCATGACTGGATTCATGATAGATATAAATGTGTTCGATGCACGTGTTATGGTGAATCAATGGTACAACAAGCTCGCCCAATTTGGTAGACACGGCGAAATAAATTAGCTTGTTTTCAACTGACAGCAGGCGAGAAATAAAAGCACATTCATCCTTAAACGTTTCGATTTCTTGGTGAGTATTCTTGGTAACAGTCGGAAACGATAAGTTCACATCGAGACAAGCGATTAGAGCACTAATGCTCCGTTTGAAAGTAACAGTTTCTGTTGATGTATCTACAAGACGTAGTAGCAGTACAAATGAAACCAACAGAAGAAAGTCACATACATACCTTTATTATCGACACAGTGGCCGTCGTTTGTAAGCGTGAGACCGATAATCTCAGTACAGCAGTCAGGAGTGGACTGTATGGATATGGTACCACCAGCTGTTTCCTGCTAAATAATGTGAGCAAGCAATAATCTTCCATTAACCGTTTGGATATTAAAGTCAATCCATTGAGCTTACCTTAGACACATAGACATGTTCATGTGAAGACGAGAGATTGCGATCATGTTCAATTGAGATACCGATTTTCAGTAGCTCTTTCTGTAATTTCACTAAAAGAGCATTCGTTTCACTATAATCATCTTTCTTCCCGCGAACATTCCTAACATCACTGTCTCTATTGCCGATAGCGCTGTCAGTCAGATTGAGATCAGACGACGAAAGAGGTTTCTGCTGGATTTCAAATGTCTTGTCAAACGGTGTAAGTGATTTATACGCTGTAGCAACATTGTTGTAAGTCGTGCCCAGTGAAGCATGATCAGGTAGAACAGATTTTTGTTGAATTGCGATTGCCTTTTTATAGTATACGAGAGCAATCGGGTATTCTCCCATCGAATCATACACTGTACCAATGTTATTGTAGGTCGTGGCGAGCGAAGCATGATGGGGTGGAAGAGATTTTTGTTGAATTGCAAGTGTCTTACCATAGTATGAGAGAGCAATCGAATATTCTCCCATGGAATACAGCACTGTACCTATGTTGTTGTAGATCGTGGTCAGCGAGGGATGATTTGATGGAAGAGATTTTTGTCTAATTTTAAGTGTCTTTTTGTAGTATGAGAGAGCGGTCGAGAAGTTTCCTATCGAATCATGCACTATAGCAATGTTGTTGTAGCTCATGGCCAGATCGGGATGATTTGGCGGAAGAGATTTTTGTCTGATTTTCAGTGTCTTTTTGTAGTATGGGAGTGCAATCGAGTATTCTCTCATCGAATATTGCACTGTACCGATGTTATTGTAGGTTGTAGCCAGCGAGGGATGGTTTGGTGGAAGAGATTTTTGTTGAATGTCAAGTGTCTTTTCATAGTATGAGAGAGCAATCGAGTAGTCTCCCATCGAATCGTGCACTGTACCAATGTTATTGTAAGTGGTGGCGAACGAAGCATGATGAGGTGGAAGAGACTTTTGCTGAATTTCAAGTGTCTTTTTATAGTATGAGAGAGCAGTGGAGTATTCTGCCACCGATGTATGCACTGAACCAATGTTGTTGTAGGCCGTGGCCAACGAGGGATGATTCGGCGGAAGAGATTCCTCTCTAATTTCAAGCATCTTTTCGTAGTATGAGAGTGCAATCGAGTAGTCTTCCATGGAATACTGGACTATACCAATGTTGTTGTAGATCGTGGCCAACGAGGGATGATTCGGTGGAAGAGCTTTCTGTCTAATTGCAAGTGTCTTTTCATAGTATGAGAGAGCAATCGAGTAGTCTCCCATCGAATACCGGACTATACCAATGTTATTGTAGGTCGTGGCGAGCGAAGCATGATGAAGCGGAAGAGATTTTTGTTGAATTGCAAGTGTCTTTTCATAGTATGAGAGAGCAGTCGAGTATTTTCCCATCGAGTACTGCACTGTACCAATGTTGTTGTAGATCGTGGCCGCCGAAGGATGGTCAGGTGAAAGAGATTTTTCTCGAATTTCAAGTGTCCTTTGATAGTATGACAGTAAAGCCGTTGCATCGCCATCCTCAGAATGAATGATTCCTAGGTTGTTATACAGAAGAGCAAGTTCCTCCGCCTGGCTGTCGGATGTTATCTCGAGAAGTGTGTTGTAGAATACTTCGGTCTTCTCAGAGTCGCCCATATTGATCATTAACGATTGCAGTTGCTGGAATTTTGTCGGTGCGACAGAAGCTCTTTAGAAGACTAATAACCTTCCTAAAAGGATCAAGTCTATCGGAACAATAGAGGCTACTTGTTTTATCCAGAAAGTTCTTAATAAAAAGCAAGGCATGAATCAAATTAGAGCCGGAATAAAACGCGAACATTCCAACGGCGCCAATATTAGTTTCACTCCTATTTTTCGAAGAATATCATAAAACATATTATCAATAAACGATCTTCACTGCATCTCGGATGTAATTAATTAATTAATTCGCTAAAAAACAAATGTTGCTTTAACGCTTTCAATTTTAATGTTACAAATTTATTTACGAAAAGTAGAAGAAACGTATGATAAATAGAAATCAAAGCAAGGAGCAGAACCGAAGGCGTATAGATATAGAAAAACAACAGTACACTCGAATTATAACTGCCATCATCACAGATCCCCTTTTTTGGAGAAATAAAAAAGGAAATTTGGCACGTGCACATTCTTTAAAAAGAAGAAAAGCCCAAGCGAGAAGAAAAGCGTTGATAGCTGACCACTGTGTTAGCTTGAAGCTGCTCATAGCTACTTGTTCTCGCCGTGGCCTTTCGAAACGTACCACAGTAGAATTTTTGCTACCTGGGACACACAGGCAAAGCGTGAATGAGAGGGAAATACAACAAGAAAGAAAACCAAAGAATTTCTTCTAAATTGAAGAAGACACCCGAGCAAAAAAATAGAGCTAGAATCGGGCGGCGGGAGCTAGATAACACGGTTTTCGAATCGGTTAAGCTAGCTCCAACTCATAACGTTTAACCTAGGACCGTGCGGTTCAACCTACTTTAGGGCGGTTGGGGAGTTATCAGCTAGGTTAACCGCCCACTTAACCGACCGATAGATGGTGCGGTGTTAAATGCACGATGCATTGCACCTAACGTCTGTCTACACTTTTTGGCTATATTAGAAATATGATATTTCCATGTTAGATTATGAGATAAAAAAACTCCTAACAACTTAATATTATTTTCCTTGAACAGAGCCTGTCCTGATAAAAAGAGTGGACTTCCTAAAGTAGAAGGCGGTGTAGCTGTTGAAAAGGGCATAAAAACGTACTTATCGATGTTTAATTTTACTGGGATTTTGTCACACCAGTCAGACATCTATGCCTGTAGATACCCATGGGCATGGACATGTATTTTCAAATTTTTGGAGATAAGTTCACAGGAGGCAACGACGTGGACATTAGATGAAAAGATGAAAGTGAATTTTTTCAAGATTCTAATAGCAGGTTATATACTCCAACTTACGCTCTGTTTAATTGGCACAGGAAGTTGTGTTCTAAGTGCCATAGTTAGTGAAAAATCAAGACGGGAATTTTTGTCGAAAAACAGAGCAATAAAGATCGAAAAGACTTTTCCTCTGTAGCGATCCTCGGTACAGTAAGTGCACATAGTTTAGCACAGCTTCAAATCGGACGAAATTTTCACAAAATCTTCTTTTAATAAAGGTACACGTATGTTGTTAGCGTAAATTAGCGTAAACGTTCCGGGACTGAGTTACAGATTTTCCAAAAAACCTTGATTTTTCCGGTGAAATCTCTATTTCTCACCCTAGAAACACTTTCATTTAACACTAATGTTACATCTAGAATCAGCACACCGAACTGTATCGAATCATATGTCAGTTGTATGTTTTTATGAGCAAAAAAAATCCTTCGACTTAATGAAATAGAACATTTGCAGCATTCCGGTAGCAATTTTTACTAGGCACTACGATTTTTGAGTTAGAAACAGGTTGAAAGCCTACAAAAACTATTTTCATAGGTTTTTGGATGCACTCATTCCAATGGTATGATTTATAAGGATCAAAAATACTTTTAGTCGGGTTTTCCAGAGACCGGATCTCTAGAAAACCCTGATAATAATATGTTTGAACTTGTAAAGCACAACATTGGAAAGAGCGCATCCGAAAACCTATAAAAATAGTGTTTAGAGACTTTCGAGTCACTCTTACCGCACATGTTCACGTGCCTAGTCAAAATTGCCCACTGTGAGGCGTGGGCACACAGTGGGCATTTTTTGCTAGAGCAGGCGGACTTTAGCTTTATGAGTGAACTAAAATTTCATGAACCACTTTTTATAAGTTTTTCATGATCCTCTCTCTAATGGCATGAGAGTTGAGTTTTGAAAAAGTTTTCTAAGGAGCTTTCCAGAGATTCGGTCTCTGAAAAACCCTTCAGAAAACTTTCTCAATATTTAAAAACGATGCCACTGGAAAGAGCATTGTCGAAAACCTATAAGAAACATGTTTCGAGCCGTTCAGGGTACTTTATCTTGAAATTCAAATTTTCAGCACGAAATTGTTTCTGTGAATCTCAAAAACTAAGAAATTTCTAGAATTCAAAATCAAGCGACCGAAACTAGATGATATAAGATAGATAGA